AATGAGGCTTAGTGGCATGCATGAAGCCCTGGGTTCAATTCTTCAGTACTACATAAACAGAAAAAGCTGGAAGTGGTGCTGTGGCTTAAATGGTTGAGTGCTAGCTAGCCTTGAGCAAAAAAGCTCAGGGACAGTGCCCAGGCCCTGAGTTCAAACCCCAGCACTGGCAAGGAAAAAAAAAAAAGCAAGCCTGAGTGGAGGTGTTCAAGTGGTAAATTGTTAGCCTTGAGCACAGAAATTCAGGCAGGCTCTGAGTTCAAGCCTGAGGACCAACACACACACACACACACACACACACACACACACACACACACTAAATGGCTTGGTAACTTTGGGAAAAGTTTGGCATACACTTGCCACACAGCCCACCAATCAGAAAAATGTGTAGTCACACAAGTAAAAACAAAAATATGGAACATACAATCCTATCATCTCAAACTAAAAGAAAAGTAAATGTCTCTCACTGGGAATGGAGACAGGCTAAATTGTAAGAGCACTTGCCCAGTATTTGAGAATGCGGTTTCAATCTCCAGCAGGGGGCGCAGTGGGAACAGAAATATAATTTTAACCAAACATGGTGGTGCATAGCTATAATCTGGGAAGCTGATGCAACAGAATGGAAAATTTGAGGCCAATCTCATTCTCATAGGAAGATTAGAGAGAGCGGTAGATGGTGTTAATCTAACTAAAATTATAATGTATTCACATCTGAATTACCACGACGAAAAGATTACTGCTGCCAGGCACCTGCAATGCCTGTAATCCTAACTTCAGGAGGTTGAGATCTGAGGATCAAAGTTCAAAGCCAGCCCAAGCAGGAAATGTCTCTGGTACTCATCTCCAATTAACAGTAAAAAAGAAAAAAAAGAAAAAAAAAAAAGCCAGAAGTGGAGCTGTGGCTCAAATGGTAGAATGCTAGCCTTGAGCAAACCCTGAGTTTAAGCCACAAGAAAAAAAAAAAAAAAAAAGACAAACAGAAACAAAGATACTGTTTACTATGTACGGACAAATCTCAAATGGATCTTGGTAAATGAGAAGATAACAGAATCAAACAGCTATATACCCTGGAGACTAATGGTTCACACCTATTATCCTGGCTACTTAAAGCTGTGAGATCTAAGGAGTGTAACTCAAAGCCAGCCAGGGAAGAAAATCCCTAAGACTCTTATTTCCAATTAACCACCAGAAAACTGGAAGTGGTGCTGACTCAAGTGGTAGAACTCTAGCCTTTTGTGAAAAAGCTCAGAGATCGCCCCTAGGCCCCGAGTTTAAGTCCCACAACACACACACACAGAGCTATGTCCTATGAGGCCACTTATGACACTCATGCAAAAATGAAACTTTAAAAACAGAAAATAAATGAGTAGTTACTGGTTAACAAAGGGCTAAAAGTGCAGGAGAGGGTTTGACTACATACAAATGAGTACAAGGCACTTTTCAAGCATGACATTTTTTTTCTAGCTCCTGATCTTCAGTCCTCAGCCTCCTGAGGTAGCTAGGATCACAAGCATGCACCATAGATGCCCAACATAGCTTTTTTTTTTTTTTTTTTTTGACATCACATGAGGGAGGGCTGGGAATGTGGCTTAGCAGTAGAGTGCTGGCCTGGCATGCATGAAGCCCTGAGTTCAATTCCTCAGTACAGCATAAACAGAAAAAGCTGGAAATGTTAAGTATTGCTGTGGTTCAAGTGGTAAGAAGTGCTGGCCTTGAGCAAAAGCTCAGGGACAGTGCCTGGGCCCCAGGATTGGCAAAAATTAAAAATTAAAAATCAGTCCCTCCCAGAAATTTCCAGAGTCAATCATTTAGCAGCTATGCAGCAGTTTGTAAATATTACTCTTAAAAGTTAGTATACAGGGCTGGGAAGGTGGCTAAGTAGTAGAGCGCTTGTCTTGCATGCATGAGGCCTGGGTTCGATTCCTCAGCACCACATAAGCAAAAAAATAAAAATAAATTAAGTATCCAGGGGCTGGGAAGGTGGCTCAGTGGTAGAGCGTTTGCCTTGCATGCATGAGGCCTGGGTTCGATTCCTCAGCACCACATAAGCAAAAAGAAAAAAGCTGGAAGTGGCGCTGTGGCTTAAATGGTAGAGTGCTAGCCTTGAGCTGAAGAGCTGAGGGACAGCGTCCAGGCCTGAACGGCCCCACGACCGGACCCCCCCCTAAAAAAAAAAAAAAAAAAAGCATCCAAAGCCAGCACCGGTGGCTCACCCATGCAATCCTAGCTACTCAGGAGGCTTAGATCTGAGGATCATGGTTCAAAGCCAGCCCGGGTAGAAAAGTCTGAGACTCTTATCTCCAATAAACCACTAGAAAACCGGAAGAGGCATTGTGGCTCAAGTGGTAGAGCTGAAGAGCTGAGGGACAGTGCCCAAGCTCAGAATTCAAGCCCCATGACAAAAAAAGTCAGTATCCAGAGGGCACTGTACTTATGGAGTTAGGCTTTTAATTTAGTCCTGGTTGTTTCCCAGAGGCCTGCAAGTAATGAATGGATTGTGAATATGCTGGTACTCAGGCTTAAACTGATTGCTGGGTACTGCTCAAGGCTGACACTTGAGCCACAGTGCCACTTCCGGCTTTTTTCTTTTTGCTTATGTGGTGCTGAGGAATCAAACCCAGTGCGCCTCGAGCATGCAAGGCAAGCACTCTACCACAGAGCCACCTTCCCACCCAGCCCCACCATCTTTTTCTTGAGGTGGGTTCTACCTTTCCAAGCTGGCCTCAAATTCCTGGGCTCAAATGATCTTGCCTGTGTCCTGAGGAGCTGGGACAAGCAAGCTAATCTTAATAAAACCCATAGCCTTGCTGGGCACTGGTGGCTACTGGTACCTACTACTATCCCAGTAACTCAGAAGATGATGTGAAGTCAGCCTGGACCAAAAAAAAAATCCTGTTTTCATCTCCAAAATAACCAGTACCAACTGGGGAAACATGAGGTCCTAAATTCTAAAAATAACAAGGTGCCAGATTAAGTGTTAATCAGGTTTACGGTGGGAAAGGTAGGCCCAAAAACTAAAGCTAAATTAAGTTGGTGAGGAGCAAATGCCAAGGGCTCATGCCGGCAATCCTAGCTACTCAGGATGAGATGTGAAGATTGGGGTTTGAAACCAGTCCAGACAGGAAAGGTGAGATTCTCATCTCCAATTAACCACCAAGAAAGCCAAGAAGCAGCTGCTGTGGCAAGTGGTAGAACGCTAATCTTAAGCAAAAAAGCTCAGAGAGCAACCAAATCAATCCTAACTCATAAAAGGACACACACCACATGTAAACACATAGGCTAAAGTAAAGGGGGAAGGACTAAGGAGTGGTTGAAAAACAATGCCAACTTTTTGCCCATCCTGGGACTTCAGGGCTGGGTGCTATCCCTGAATCATTTTGTGCTGAAAGTTTAGTAGTGCCCTACCACTTAAGCTACAGTGCCACTTCTGGCTTTTAGGTAGATTAGAGATTGATCTGACTTTCCTGCCTGGGCTGGCTTCAAACTGCAATCTTCACACCTCAGTCTCCTGAACAGCTATCATTACAGGTGTGAACCACTGGCGTCCAGCTAACAAGGCCAAGTTTCAATCAAGCCCTAGTAATTTAAAAAAGATGCCTTGTTTGAATCTGCCCAGACTACCTTTGCCATTCTTCTTCTGAAATCTTAATCCCTGCATATGAATTTCAGCCAGGCCACACCAGCACTTATTACACACAGGTAATCTGACAGCCCACCAGTATTTTTTAGCCATACTAACCAAGTATACAATCTCCTTTCCTTTAAGTCTATTTCTGATATTAAGTTACTGTAGATTTGTTACTTTATCTTGTGGTCTAGAATTAACCAACAGGTGGTGCTAAGACTAAGAAATTTTAAGGATTGGTTAGCTTTCCTTCCACGACTGTTGGAGGTACTTAAACCCAACAATTCCAATTTTCATTATCCACTCTGAAATACTGGGCAGGTTGTTCAGGCCACAAGGAAAATTCCAAGATCACCTTTTGCGCCTCATGAAACACAAAATTCTGATCTTGACTTACAGCCTTCACATAGCACCAAGACACTCTGGCTCACTTTGTCTAGATAATGATCCCAACCATAGCAAACCAAAACTGCTGTAACACTGAAGTCAACAGATTTGCTTCACAGATGTCCTATAACATCCAATTAAATTATCCTTTGTGCCAGTAATAACCTAGCCTAGGGCCTAGAACATGCACTTTCCACAATCCCATGGGGCACAATTACTGACAGCTGGGTACTAGTAGCTCAACACCTGTTAATTCTACTCATGAGGCTAAGGTCATAATCCCAAACCAACTAGGGTGCATTTCCAACCAACCTAGAAGCTGGAATAGCTGTGGCTCTTTCTAAGAGCACTGACTTTGGGGGGGTGGGGGGATGCTTACAAACAATCCTATGGCCGTGAAACTCATGCCAAGCAACTTGCTCACTTGAATTAGATCTAAGAACTACTTTATTTCCAACATGAAATCCCAATCCATTTCAAAATCCATAGACACCTGCTTGTAATTATAATTACCTTGTCTTTTCAACAGCACCAGCTACTCATACTTTGGTCTACTGGATTCTAGGAAGCTTTACCAAGTTTATCTCCTTCCAAACTAGCTCCTTGAATTCCCATCCCAAGCTTTCATTTTGCCTGAAATCTAGACATGGCTTAGTACTATTTAAACCCAAGATTACAGCTACTATGATGACAGCACAGAAAGCAAATTCTAATTACCTGGGACTAAAGTGAACTAGATGTAAAAACACTCAGTTTCTTCCAACTCAAATCCCTATTTTAGTCCCCCAGATAGCTTGAGTTACTATCAGGACTGTTATGATTTTACCTTCTAAAGTCTCTATTACCTTACAAAGGTCCTTACCAGTAACTTGCCAAGACACACAAGACTGGATATCCCCAATAGGTTTCAGATACCCATCCTAACCAACCAGATAATAGGCTGCAAAATTTTACATTCCTACAGAAATTTTTGACCAAAAGATGACACAGGTTTCTCATTAAACTTTGTTTTAATGGGTCTCAAAATTCTGTGACAGATTTTTGGTCATGTTGTTTCCATTAAAAAGTACTGATTTTTAAAAACTAATAACTTAAAACTGCCACACAAAAAAAATGGTCCACAAAACATTTTCCTTTCCTTCTGAAGGTTTTACGATGCATTGTTATCATTAACCAGTCTTTTACTATTAAACTTAAATGGCCAATTGAGATAAACAGTTCTGAGACCGTTCTTCCACCACTGGTTAAGACTGAAGTGGCAGGTGTTAGGGGTAATATTCATTTAGCCTTCTGAGCTTTCTGGGCAGACTTGGTGACCTTGCCAGCTCCGGCAGCCTTCTTGTCCACAGCTTTGATGACACCCACAGCAACTGTCTGCCTCATATCACGAACAGCAAAGCGACCTATCAAGAAACAAGGTTTCGTTATTGCCAGAATACACTTCCTATGAGAAAAAAGCCTCTTCCTACAGCAACTCATTTTTAAGTTTCAGTGAGCCTTACCCAGAGGAGGATAGTCAGAGAAGCTCTCCACACACATGGGCTTGCCAGGAACCATGTCAACAATGGCAGCATCACCAGACTTCAGGAATTTAGGGCCATCCTCCAGCTTCTTACCAGAACGGCGATCAATTTTCTCTTTCAGCTCAGCAAACTTGCAAGCAATGTGAGCAGTGTGACAATCCAGCACAGGGGCATAGCCAGCACTGATTTGGCCTGGATGGTTCAGGATGATCACCTTAAGGAAACAAAGTCATTTAGAGGAATTCCACTTTTTGGCTTTTTAGTTTTTAAATGTATTTAACTATCTTGTTACCTGAGCAGTGAAGCCAGCTGCCTCCATGGGGGGATCATTCTTGCTGTCACCAGCAACGTTGCCACGACGAACATCTTTGACTGACACGTTCTTGACGTTGAATCCCACATTGTCCCCAGGAAGAGCTTCACTCAAAGCTTCATGATGCATTTCAACAGACTTTACTTCAGTTGTGACATTGACAGGAGCAAAGGTGACCACCATGCCAGGTTTGAGAACACCAGTCTCCACTCGGCCCACAGGGACGGTTCCAATACCTATTGTATTCAGAAAATTATATGATGGAAGGGCAGAGGGGCCTTGGCTGCCAAGGTAGTCTTGAAATTTTCAAATACCCAACTTACCACCAATTTTGTACACATCCTGAAGGGGCAGGCGCAAAGGCTTGTCAGTGGGACGAGTTGGTGGCAGGATGCAATCCAAAGCCTCGAGCAAGGTGGTACCACTGGCACTGCCGTCTTTACGGGTGACTTTCCATCCCTTGAACCAAGGCATCTGAAACACAAGATTGCCAATTTAATGTCATCAATTCTTGCCACTTCCAGATTTCTTTTTAATGTCTTGAAAGCCACTTACATTGGCACTTGGCTCCAACATGTTGTCACCATTCCAGCCAGAAATTGGCACAAATGCTACTGTGTCAGGGTTGTAGCCAATTTTCTTAATGTAGGTGCTGACTTCTTTGACGATTTCCTCGTATCTCTTCTGGCTGTAGGGTGGCTCAGTGGAATCCATTTTGTTAACACCAACAATGAGTTGTTTCACACCCAGTGTGTAAGCCAGAAGGGCATGCTCACGGGTCTGCCCATTCTTGGAGATACCAGCTTCAAATTCACCAACACCAGCAGCAACAATAAGGACAGCACAGTCAGCCTTTGAGAAAAAAAGAACTTGCCATGTTAATGGAGAATGAAAAACCCTGACTTCATATTACTGGACTATTTTTAGACATTTCACAAACCTGGGATGTGCCTGTAATCATATTCTTGATGAAGTCTCTGTGTCCTGGGGCATCGATGATGGTCACGTAATACTTGCTGGTCTCAAATTTCCACAGGGAGATGTCAATGGTGATACCACGTTCACGCTCAGCCTTGAGTTTATCCAAGACCCAGGCATACTTGAAGGAGCCCTTTCCCATCTGTAATAGTTTAGAGTGACCATATTAAGATGTCATCCAGCCCTTAATTTCCCCCTACCCATCCATTAAGATTACTCCATGTTTAAGCTCAAGTTTTCAGTCACAATTACCTTTACGCCCCCAAGCCTAGCCATTGGCTTAAAAAAAAATCTACTTTAGCCCGTTTCCCCTTTGACTTGCCTCAGCAGCCTCCTTCTCGAACTTCTCAATGGTTCTCTTGTCGATGCCACCACATTTATAGATCAGATGTCCGGTAGTGGTGGACTTGCCCGAATCGACGTGTCCAATGACGACAATGTTGATATGGGTCTTCTCCTTTCCCATTTTGGCCTCGACTTAGTGGTGGTTTTCACGGCACCTTATCCAAAAAAAGACCTTTACGTAAAAGCAGTGTCGAGTACCAGCCGCGATCGAAAACCCAAAAGGGCAAATTCCAAGAACTACATCCGGTGCCAAGCTGGCCTCCAGTCTCCACCCACCGCGGGTGAGTGAACCTCCGCCGCACAATATCCCCTCCCCCCCAGCTGAGAGAGCAGCCACGCTCTGCAGGCGCTGCGGGAGGAATCGGGGCGGCTGGACGGCGCCAGGCCGCACGTCGGGGTCACAGGAAGCAGCGGCCAAGGCGGGGACGGCCTTTCCCTTTGTGTGGTGACTCACCCGCCCGCTCTTCCCGGGCCGCCGCGTCCTCCATTTTGAGCTCCCTGCCACCGGGGCCGGCAGCGGCCATCTTTCCGCGCACGCAACTGGTGCCGGTCGGGGCTGGTGGCCCGCGGCGGGAGGACCCCGCGGCGAGGCCGCACCCCTACGCCGCCCGCCGTAACCCGCCGCCCCACGCCCGCGGCGGCCCGCCCGCCCCAGCCCGGCCCGGCCCAGAGCCCCAGGCACCGCCTCGCCGGACATGTGCGCTGCCCGCTCGGACCCCGCCGCCCGCCGCCCCCCGACGGCCGCGCGGCCCGACGCCCTGCCCGGCCCCGACGCGGCGCCCTGGCGGGCGAATGGCATCGCCGATGGGAGCCTGCCGACGAAGGCGGCCCGAAACCCCTTAAATCACACCGCAGCGGGGCAGCCGGGAGAGTGCGAAGGCCCCGCACGCGGCGGCCCGGCGCCGGGCCTGGCCTCGACTCGAGCACGAGGCGCAGCCGTCTCCAAAAAGCACCAGGCCTCGCCAGCCCCTCCCCGTCCCCCCAACCCGGCAACACGCAATTCGGGGCCGAAAACCTGGCACAGGCGGCCCCGAGCCACCGCGGGAGAGGCAGGCGTGCGAGGGCCTCCGCCGGCCCCGGGCGGGCGGGCAGCCAGGCCCGCGGAAGCCACACCCGAAACCCACCTGCGTTCTGACGGCAAACCCGTTGCGAAAAAGAACGTCCAGGGCGACTACGGCACTTATATACCGTGCTCCCCCACCCGCGGGAAGTGGGCGGAGCCAGCACACGACACCGCTTTCCCAGTTTGCCCCGCGCCGCCTCCACTCGGCAGCGGTTCAATTGCCGTCCCCTCCCCCCTCTACCCCCCCCCCCCTCTCTGTTCCTGAGCTCGGGGACTGTGGGCCAAGTGGGCTCAGCCCATTGACCCGCACCCGGCTCCTTGCGCATGCTCCTCTCGACCCGGATGATGACGAGGGCGAGGGGCGGGGCCACAGCAAAACCCTCTTTCCGAAATTAGTGAGAGCTTAGCGACGGTCCCTGGGATTCCCAGAGGCTAAGGCGAGTCCTTTTGTATGAATTACTCCGGGACGCTGCCTGGGTGGGGCCGGGAGGAGCGGGAGGCCTACGGGGGCGCCCTGCCACCAGTCCTGGCTTGGTCGCCGAGGTTGAGCCTGGGGGTGCCCCTTCACCCCGCAGCCCACCTGCTGTCCTTCCAGCCATCTGGCTCGTCCAGGGGTAAAAATCAACAAAAAGAAACCAGAGGCGCTTGGCTGTGGGCAGCCGGGCCGGGGGCTGGCTGCTCCCCACCCCACACCCGGGCCTTTCGGGTCCCGGGCGCTGTGCCCGGCCCCAGAACCCCGATCCGGGTGGGGCGGGGTTCTGCGTGCCCAGGAATCCCAGGAGGGCTCGGCGCCCGGCCGGCCTCGTGGTTCCTTCCATTCAAAGCCAGCTTTTATTGAAAGCGCAGGACGCCCTGGGCCCGCTGGACCCACTCAGGTCCGAGCTGCAGATCAGGAAGAACTTCAGTCCTACACGCTTAGCTTTCGCTCCTATTCTGCGCCTGGTAACCCTCAAAAAAGAAAAAAGATGTGGAGTGTGTGTCCACTCTTGTACTTTTTTTTTAAGAACAGCCATTTGATGGCGAGCACGAGGAACCTGGAATCTTTCAAAATCCAGCCTTTCCACGTGATCTCAGTTAGAGACTAAGATCTACAGCCTCAGCAAGTTTATCCGCCCAGATCCAATCCCTGCTCCGGGAAGTCACTGGCTGCTTCTCCAAAGTGGACGATCCTGTTTATGGGGATAAGTTTGCAAGGAGATGAGGCTTACTTAACCTTTTGAGAGAAGTTGTTTGAGATGGGGTCTTGTTAGGAAGCCCAGGCCGATCTATATAACTCCTGGGTTCAGGTGATCCACTTCAGGGTCCCAAATAAATATGACTGCAAGTGGGTCTTTTCAGAATAGAAATGTTCTCTAAGGAAAGGAAACCTTTTTCATTTTTGTACTGGTACTGGGGTTTGAACTCAGGGCCTGAATGTGAATCCCTTAACACTTTAGCTCAAGAGTGGGGCTCTGAGACACACTTTTACTTGTGCCTTTTTGTTTTGTTTTTTTCCATTGTGGTTGTTTGGGGGGGGGGAAGGTTGGTTTTGGGGGTGTTTTTGTTTTGCCAGTCCTAGAGGGCTTCAACTCTGGACCTGGACACTGTCCTTTTTGTGCTCAAGGTGAGCAACAGCACCACTTCCAGTTTTTTCTGTTTATGTGGTACTGAGGAATCGAACCCAGGACTTCATGCTTGTTAGGCAAGCACTCTACCACTAAACCACATTCCCAGCCCCTTTTGGATTGTTAATTGGATTTTTAAGAGTCTCCGGGAACTTTCCGGCCCAGGCTGATTTCTAAGGGCCATCATCTGGTCTCAAGCCTCCCCAGTGTAAGGTCTGAACGGGGACACCTCCCTCCCTCCTGGCTAAGTTTCTGCCCAGTATCAATTACCTGGGTAACTGGCACACCTGGAAGCAGTCACCCTCCCCTCCTGCTAGGTCACATCCTGGGCCACCTCGTGACCCCACGTGCCTCCCATCTGACCCTAGGAGGGTCCCAGACCCTGAGGTCTCATCCAGATCCAGTATGGCCACACCTTTCTCTCACCTGGCCACAGCTCTTCCTGTCCCTGGCCTAGATAAGTCCTGCCCCAGAGGTACCTTCCCCACCCCCCCTTTCCTTTTCAGCCATGGTTCTCCACCATGCTTGGCAGGGGCAGCAGATCAGTAAATAGCTTCTTTTCCTGTCTGAGTAGCGCGTGTGGTGGTCTCCTCATTAGCTACCTAATGCAACCTATCTATTTAATATACCTTACATTGAGCAGCTTGGATTTACTGGCAGAAACCACTGGTGCCCCATAGGAAAAAACTTTTTTTTTTTTTGTCCTGGCCTGAACTCTGGGCTTGGGCGCTGTCCCTCAGCTCTTCAGCTCAAGGCTAGCGCTCTACCACTTGAACCACAGCATCACTTCCGGCTTTTTCTGCTTATGTGGTGCTGAGAAATCAAACCCAGGGCCTCATGCATGCAAGGCAAGCACTCTACCACTGAGCCACCTTCCCAGCCCTGGAAAAAACTTTTTATTGTTTTGTTTATTGGTGGGTTGTTTATTGGGGGTTGAAAAAATAAGCATTAACTTGCCCATGTAATTGTAACTCCTCTGTACGGTATTCTCACAATAAAAAATAAAAAAAAACAACACATTAAATGTTAGTGGGAATCTGGGAATCCAACCCAGTACCACAAACATGGCAGGCAGGTACTCCACCACTGAGATAACATCCCAGCCTTATGAACATTTTTTTTAGTAGCTTTGCTCCTGAATCATTATATCTCTTCTTCCAGGTATAAAACATTACTGGCCCCACTTCTCAAAATAATATTTGTGAGCTTACTTTTTTTTTTTTTGTCGGTCGTGGGGCCTGAACTCTGGGCCTGGGCGCTGTCCCTAAGCTCTTCAACCCAAGGCTGGCCCTCTACCACTTGAGCCACAGCACCACTTCTGATTTTCTGAGTGGTTTATTGGAAATAAGAGTCATGGTCTTTCCTGTTCCAGCTGGCTTTCAACCATGATCCACAGATCTCTGATTCCTGAGTAGCTAGGATTACAGGTTTGAGCCACCAGCGCCCAGTTTGTGAGCTTAGCACATTGCCAGTGCTAAGGGAAACTTTCCACTCAAAATGCACCAGCCTTGAGCCACACCCACACTTCAGGCTTTTCAATGAAAATTGGAGATCAGGGTCTCACTGACTTTTCTGCCCTGGTTTGCAGTCAAACCTTGATCCTCAGATCTCAGACTCGTGAGACTCCCTTCTCCCCATTCTCTCAGGAAAAAACTCATCTTGCTTTACTGCTCCTTACAGATAGAAATTTCTTTTCTTTTTTTTTTTTTTTTGGGTCCGGTCGTGGGGCTTGAACTCTGGGCCTGGACGCTGTCCCTCAGCTCTTCAGCTCAAGGCTAGTGCTCTACCACTTGAGCCACAGCGCCACTTCCGGCTTTTTTTCTTTTTGCTTATGTGGTGCTGAGGAATCGAACCCAGGGCCTCAGGCATGCAAGGCAAGCGCTCTACCACTGAGCCACCTTCCCAGCCCCCAGATAGAAATTTCTTAAAACCAGGTTTCTTTATTTCTTCATGAAGTTTTTGCTCTTCTTGTTTTATTAACTGATCATTTTAGGGCTGGGAAGGTGGCTCAGTGGTAGAGTGTTTGTCTTGCATGCATGAGGCCCTGAGTTCCATTCCTCAGCATCACATAAGCAGAAAAAAAAAGCCGGAAGTGGTGCTGTGGCTCAAGTGGTAGAGCGATAGCCTTGAGCTGAAGAGCTGAAGGACAGCGCCCAGGCCCAGAGTTCAGGCCCCACGACTGGACCAAAAAAAAAAAAAAACAACTGATCATTTTAATCAAAGAATTTAAAACCATTCAGGTTTCAGTAGAAATGCATAACAAGTCATTTTCTTTACACAAAAGCCTTTAATGCAATCCCCATATTACTAGTTTCTCTGCTTTCACAAATCTTTTTTGCTTCAAATTTACCTAGTGTTTAGCCAATCATATACTTGTGGAATAAAATTAGCTTGATACCTTGATCCCTTTTTGCAATAGGAGAAAGTTGTAAGAAGTAACAATGAGGGGCTGGGAAGGTGGCTCAGAGGTAGAACGCTTGCCTTGCATGCATGAGGCCCTGGGTTCGATTCCTCAGCACCACATAAGCAAAAAGAAAAAAACCAGAAGTGGTGCTGTGGCTCAAGTGATAGAGCACTAGCCTTGAGCTGAAGAACTGAAGGACAGCGCCCAAGCCCAGAGTTCAGGCCCCATGACCGGACCCCCCCCCCCAAAAAAAAAAGAACAATGAAAAAAATGACAAGCAATAGAATAATACAAAAATATAGAGGCCAGATGCTAGCTATTACACTTGTAATCCTAGCTGTCCAGAAAACTGAGATCTGAGGATCAAGGTTCAAAGCCAGCCCAGACAGCTAAGTCCATGAGTGTCTTAATTCCTATTAACTGCCAAAAAGCTAGAACTTGACATGTGACTCAAGTGGCAAAACACCAGCCAACCTTTCTTGAATGGAAAAATTCAAGTAAGAAAACTGATCCAATTGGCTGAGAAGGTGGCTCAAAGGTAGAGTGCTTGCCTTGCACACATAAGTGAAGCCCTAGGTTCGATTCCTCAGAACCACATAAGCAGAAAAAGCCAAAAGTGGCGCTGTGGCTCAAGTGGTAGAGTACTAACCTTGAGCTGAAGAGCTGAAGGACAGTGCCAAGGCTCAGGGTTCAGGCCCCACAACTGACAAAAAAAGAAGAAAAGAAAACTGATCCTTGTGAAATATGCTCTGTGAAATGTGGCTCAAGTGGTAAGTGCTATCTGTGAGCAAAAAGAAGCTCAGGGACAGTGCCCAGACCCTGAGTTCAAGCCTCAGGACTGGCAAAAAAAAAAAAAAATGTCTGCCCAGACTGATCCTCAGATCTCATAAACTAGGATTATAGGCATGAGCCATCAGTACACAGCTAATTTTTCATCTAACCAGTACTGGTTGAATTCTCTCTCTTGCTTGGCTTTATAAATTAAATTTTTATTTTTATTTATGTGCCAGTCATGGGTTTTGAACTTAGGGCCTAGGCACTTCCCTAAACCTCTAGTGCTCAAGGTTAGTAGTGCTTTATCATTTGAGCTATTGCCGAATTCCAGCTTTTTCTGAGTGGTTTATTCAAGATAAGAATCTCACAGACTTTCTT